GTGTATGTAGAGGGTATAATCCTTTATGTTTTGAGGAACGTCATTCCATGCTTTAGTATAAACACAGAAGAAAGACCTCTGTCCGTAACAGTTTTTAAAAGTTGGTAATATCAGTTGTCCTTTTGTAACAGATCTAGTTGAATGACCACTTCCAGAATTTGATTTGGGCAGCAATGCACAGAGAGTTCCATAAATGGCACCTTGAAAGATCTGAAAACATAAATTAATACCACTATACAAAACATAATTCTGAAAAGTCAAGGCATCAGACAATGAAGGCACTGTACAGTGATGAGTCCAACCAGGAAGTTTTTTTATGAATTTTGTTGGCCCTGTTGTAGAGCCTAACTATGGGTTCTAAGATTGCATTTGTTGTAAGAGACCAAACAGGTAAACAGTACGACATGGTTGAGAGTATAATGGCATGAAGGTAGATATTTGAAACAGAAGATGTCAGATTGGATCTAATTTTTGAATAAACATATAATTTCTGTTTCAACTCTTAGTGGTTAAGACTTGTACATGATCAHGATAAGTCAAATGAGAATCCAAAGTAATTCCAAGATATTTGTAGGTAGTGACAATATCAAGGKGTTTGTTTAAAAAAGTGAGTTGATTTGTTATACTGAAATGTCTCCTGGGTGAGGAAAAATACATGCACACAGTTTTTTTAACATTAATTGACAAAAGATTATCTTGAAGCCAACCATGAAATGTCTGAAGATCTGCTTGTAACTGACTATTAATAGATTCAATACTGAAATCAGACAAAAAAAGATTAGCATTCTGCTCATCCTGACCGCAGATGGTTTAAAATCCACTTTTTATGTTGTTGTTCTATGATTTTTCTACATTTTTCATCTTTGTGTATGATAGTGTTATCATATGTTGTCATAGGGTTGGGCAGAATCGTGTGGAATTATTAATCAGTTAAACTTTTGCTGGTTATTTGGCACTTGGTGATGTAAGACGTGTGTGGAACCGACAGCCTCAGCAAATCTTTAGGTTCTGTCGAAAACTAATTCATCTTCATCATACGAGTCATGGCTGACTTATTTGTGAACAAATTGTTGTTATAGATCTTGAAATAAGATCTAAATCCATACAATTTAGACTCTCTACAGTAGTTTCCTTCATATACATTTTAACCCCCTGCCCTCCAGCGGAGATCGCTCCGCCTTCGAAACCACGTGACTGAAA